GGAGCTCTCCAAAAAGATGCTGCGTGGTCTGTAACACAGCTAAATGTGTGCCTTTGGTATTATTACTTAAAGTTCGCTTTTAAATTACGAGACTGAAACATTTAGAGAGCCACTTACCTGGCCTCACATTCTGCAGAACAGTTTAGAAACCATCCCTCTAAGCTTTCAGTTCCTCTGAGAGAAGCAGTCACTGGAATTAGGGCAAGTAAGGAGAAGAGGGGCAGGGCTCGGGGCCGAGGAAGCAGACAGGAACTAGAGGAACAGTCCACAAGCCCTTGCAGAATTGCAGACCCGTCAGCAGGCAGGGGCCTGGAGTTCAAGCCCCTGCCTCTGGATGCTCGGACTGCTCAACCTTTAAGCTTGGCCCTTCCCTCCTTTACAGACAAGATGCACAGATTGTATGTGAATGTGCTGATCTTGGCGCTGGCTCTGGCCACCTTTTCCGAAGCTTCTTGGAAGCCCCACTCCCAGCTGCAGGATACACCCTCAGATCCAAGTGTCAATCGGGGCCTGGAGCCGCGTTGGCTAGAGCAGCTGGGTCCAGCCTCTCACCACCGAAGACAGCTGGGACTTCAGGGTCCCCCACACCTGGTGGCAGGTAGGAGCTACTGACAGCTGTCCTTGCTTGCCTCACCCGGCCAGTTTTAGCCCTGGACTCAGTCCCAGAAGCTAAGCATCCTTCCCCTAGCCTCACCTCCTCTCCCATCTCTGACCCTCAGACCTGTCCAAGAAGCAGGGGCCATGGCTGAAAGAAGAAGAAGAATCATATGGATGGATGGACTTCGGCCGCCGCAGCGCTGAGGAAGGAGACCAACGTCCCTAGAACCGAGCTGCAGAGCCCAGTCACCTCCCAGCCCAGCCTTGTCCCATGAAAAACCAATCAAAATAAACTTGCTTCCAATGGATCACATTGTGTTAAGTGTCACGGGGAGCTGGGGGCAGGGTTGAGGCAGGGAGGAGAGTTGAGCACCCCTCTGGGGGCAGGGACCGTGGCTTATTATCTTGGTATCCCCGGAGCCCAACACCAAACAAATGTCTCTATGTGTGGGTGAGAGAATGGGGCTGGGGGTCGCAACCAGAGTAAGCTTTTTAAAGAATAAATCAAATCGTGTTACGCCAACCCTCCAGCGCCTCCCATGGCACTTAGAAGAGAATCTAAACTTATCAAAGTTCTAAGAGCTATTCCTCCTGGTGGGGGCCGTCGTGGGGGCCACATTTCTCCCACCTCTCTTCCTTTCCCTTACACAGATGCACCATGCTTCCTTCTGCTCCGAACGTTCGTCCTTGCTGTTCCCCGTGCCTGGAATTCTTTTCCCCAGCCACACACGTAGCTGGCTCCTCTTTGTCTCCTTGGGTCTTGGTTGAAATGCCCGTTTCTGAGGATTTGCCCTTTCTGTTCCTCGCCCTTCACACGCAGCCCCCATTACGCTCTAAATCTGCAGCATAATAGTTTCTGTAGAGCACATTTCACAATCTGTAGTTGGTTTGTTTTCCAGCTTGTCAGCCTCCCCAGTTAGAAAGGAAACTGTTTAGAGTAGGGAGCCTGTGTCCCTCTTCCCTGCTGAATCTCCAGTGCCAAGAACAAAAGGTACCCAATGTATATTTGTCAAATGGGAGAGTGGCTGGCGTAGGCACTCACTGGTATCCCACCCACAGTCCCTCACTGTCTTGTGCCTGTCGGCGGCATCCTCCCACAGGCACATGCTACTCTCCACCTGAGGGCTTTCTGAGTGTCAGGCAGTCTGGAAAGGCTGAAGAGTTAGTGCCTCCAGAAGGTCTCTCCGTCAATGACAGATGACAGTTGGAGGAGAACTGCAGGGCAGACCCCTAGGGCAGGCAAATTTTCTCTAAAGGGGCCAGATAGAAAATATTTTAGGCTTTGCTGGCCAAGAGGCAACATCAAGGCTATTTGTATAGATACTCAAATAGCCATTTAAAATGTAACCATTTAAAATATAAAAACCATTCTTCGCTTGCAGGCCATATGAAAACAGGTGATGGGCCAGATTTGGCCCATGGGTCATAGTTTGCTGACTCCTGTTTTAGAGCAAGGTCATGCCATCTGCAAAAGAGAATTATGTATTGTTTAAAAAGCCACGCCTGGCGTGCTCCTGGGCTCTGAAAAGTAACGACAACTGTTGAATTTCGTTACTATGCAACCAGAGTGCCTCATCATGAGCTGGGTATTTTCAGACCCACCACGTCACAAGGTTAGGTGGGCCAAATTTAAGAGGGACATGGCGTATTCAAGATTGGGCCTGAGGAAGGTGAGGGGGCACAAAGTTACTCAGTCACCCACACGCCCAGGTACCTACATCTATTCCACCAGTGCCTCCTCTCTGCTCACCCCCATGGCCTCATTACAGGTTCTCTATGGTTAGCTCACAGAGAAGGAAGGACCCAGGCCTGGTTCACAAATGTGCAGGCCTAACACGTCGGTAAAAACTGAAAATGGACTGCTGCCACACTATGGCCCACTCAGGGGTGACCCCAAAAAGGCAGTGGTGAGAGGCAATCCTTCCGGTGGGTGGAATTTCAGGTAGGAGACCTGGTCATCAACTTGGCATGGAGGGAGAAGGAGCCTGGGGGAAATATATGCACAGATTTCTGGACAGTGACAGAGGGTTCACCTGGTTGGTCAGGCGACTTGCAGGAACAAAACGAGAAAATCAGAGACAGAGACCTCTGGGAAGAGGCAAGCAGATGGCTCTGTGGAGGAGGCACAAAGTGAGTGGCTTGAGACCCACCTGAGAGCAGCCACTTGAACAGAGTTGTTCATCCAGTGGCGGTCAGCCAGATGCAGTCTTCGGCCACTGCACACTTACACTACGGGCTCACAAATACAGCGACGATGGTGGCAGAGACAGAGGTTATGCCTGGGCCCGACGGCCAATCTAGCTGCTACCTCTGCTGAATAGCTGATTCATCAGCAGCAGAGACTAACTCTGAGCTCTTGGCGATGGACTGTGCCTCCAGGAGACCAACAAGCTACTTGTTACTAAATTGATGACACTCTAGAAGAGGTGTTGAGCCATCCTTGTGGGGACCGATATATATCCTAAGTATGAGTTTACTTTCCTGCCCACATGCCTCTGCCAGCACTACAGGACTACAGAGCATCTAAGAACTTACAGCGTATGACTTGCCATCACAGGATCCCATAACCCGTGACCTCAGACAAGGGACCTGCTTTATAGCGAAGGAGGTGCAGCAATGAGCACATGACCTTGGGATCCGCTTGTCCTACCACATACCACATCACTACAGGCTGAGAGAATGCTGGAATTAAAGGTGAGGCTAACTTGGGGATGTGCCCTGGGGTTGGAATGCAGTATGTACTTTGAACCAATGGTTATTATATGGTGCTGTGTCCCCAGTTGCAGGAACACATGGGTCCAGGAACCGAGGCATAGAGTGGAAGTGGCCCCTATCGCCATCACTGCCAGGGGCCAACCTCAGAATCTGTGTTTCCTGTCCTCTTAATTCTAAATATTTCTGGACTAAAAATCCTCGTTCTTGGGGGAGGACACCTCCACCAGAGAATATTGTAAAGATTCCCCTAAATCCTAAAGGTACAGCTGCTGCCTGGCCATTTTTGGCTCTTCGTGCCATTAGACCAGCAGTCAAAGAAAGGTCAATTACTATGAGAGGTTATTGACTCTGATTAGCTTGAGGGCTAGGCTCACCGCCTCACAATAGCGCAGGAAGGAGTACACAGGAATGGAGGATCGCTGGGGTGCCTCTTGGGACTTCCTGCCTGGTGATAACCATAAACAGGAAGTTGCAGCAACAATGGCCTGAAAAGGGTTTGGTGACCAAGGTTTTAAACCTTTTAGGAGTGAAGGTCTGGGTTACTTCACCAGGAAAGCAACACGAACCAGCTAGCCAAGGATGAGGGGAATAGAGGGTGGGTGGTAGAGAACGGAGGTGAGAAATAGCACTTAGGGTGTTAGGACCACTTGCAGCAGTGGAAACCACAGCTTATACCACACGCCCTCCAGGTGTACTTTTTTTTTAAGATACTTGACCAGCCACCATCTTAAAGAAGCAATGCCAGGCCAGAGTGAACTCCACACGGAGCTTAAGTGTTTCTGAGTGGTACAAGGTGTGGACTGTAGCAGACACCGTGGTGTCCTGCTGGTGTCCCTGGCACTCACCATTCTCGTAAATGCCGATTGTGTTCCACTACGAGCAGTTACTCTCTGCCTGGGGACTTTCCCTCAGCTCCGAGCATGGGGAGACCAGGGCACCAATGAGTTAATGCCCCCGGAACAGCCCTCAGCCAATGACGAATGAAAGCTGGAGGATGCTTGCTCCAGCTTCCTCACCATTTGGGTGGGATCACTGAGATGGGTTCTATATCTGTGTGTTTCCAACTTTAATATGCATGTGCATTGCCTGGGGGCCTTGTTAACCTGCAGACTTTGACTCTATAGGTCTAGGGTGGGGCCCGAGAGTCTACATTTCTGATAAACTCCCAGCAGATGTCAATGATGCTGGTCCATGGACCATACTTTGAATTGCAAAGGGCTATACTTCCTCCCAGAGTTCCACAGTAAGACTGTGCCTTAGTTGCCTAACACTCCCTTTCATTAGCTTCTTTCTGTTCTCAAGTCTCCACTTGTTTTCAAACCCTCTTCCGGGTCTTCTTCTAGGGGACTTCTACTTAAGGCAATGGGTGACTCTCACTCCGGCTTCACTCTTCGTACCAAGCACTGCATGAGAGACCCTGGAGCAGAAAGGATCAGGGAGGGAGCCCGTGCAAGCATGAGTGCCCGAGGTCTTGGGTTCAAATCCCAGCTCCATGACCTGCTGTTAGATCCATGGGAGGGTCACTTAACCTGCCTGGACCTGTTTCATCATCTGACAACCATTTATCAGATCACCCACCACCCCACGAGGATTGTTGATATGATTAAATAATGTATTTAATCAAAGTCCTTGGCACATCATTCAATACTGGAGCCCTTCTTCCCCCCACAACTTCATCTACCAAAGCACATGCGCACGCACACGCACGCACACGTGGGCACGCGCACACGCGCACACACATATATGCATGTACACACACTCCCTGAGAAAGACGGCTGGAGGATGGCCAAGTAGAGCACAGGTTGTTTATTTCCTGCAATGACAAGTGCACAGGATGACAAGCAACAGGACAGTGAGAAGCATGGTGGGAGCAGAGCAGTAGCAGTGGGGGTCACAGGCCCCTGGTTGCAGATGTTTATGAGTGAAGAATAGGAGATCGGGAAGAAGGAAACAAGGAGCACTAAGGAGAGGGCAGTGGGAGGGAGTGACTGGGCCTGAGGCGGGAGCCTGGACCCTCACAGGCCAAGGAAGGGGAGGGGGAGGCACACCGCCCACCACAGGGCAGAGAGACTCCTCACATAGAAATGCTTCCAGTTATAAACAGTAATTAGGGACTGAGAAGAAAGGGCCAAGAATGGGGGTCCCCAAAAATCACAAGGACTCAGGAGCCACCTTTAATTTGGAGGTCAAGGGGTAAGGGTATGGTTTTAGAAGGGTACTCAGAACAACTTCCTGCTCCAGGGGCCAATGCCCCTCCCCCAGCTCGGAGCTGGGTCTGGTAGCTGATAGGCCTCACTCTGGGCTTCTTCAGTCCCTGGGGCCACCATGGGACCCAGGCCCAGCAGCCACAGCTTTTGCTCTAGCTGCAGAAGGAGGGCCAGGCTTCCTTCAGCCCGTCCCAGAAGAGGGTCAAGGCTTGGGCCCTCCAACACCAGCCCAGGTTCATCAGGACAGAGGATGGGCTGGTGACAGACAGGGGGTCCCACTTCTGAGGATGGAAAGGGGGGTCCTGGGGCGGGGGAGTGGGACTTGGCCAGGCAGCAAAAAGAGGGGCCTCGGGCTTTCTGTGGGGCCTCTGCAGGCTGCTGGGAATCAGCAAAGCCTGGAAGAGAAGTGGGTAGATGTGAACTGGGGGGCCTGAGGGCCACAGGCCTGGCCTAGGCAGCAGGCATCGGCGGGGGCCTGGTCAGCCTTATCAGGAAGAGACGGCTGCCATTGATAGCTATGAAGGTTGCCCACTGCTTGGCCACAGAGGTCACCATCAGTTTACAATCTGCACAGCCTTCCACGGTGACCCTGATGAGGCCACCCAGCGATGCCGAAAGGGCCATCTGAGTGAGGACAGGCCAGATATAATGGTGAGGCTGCCGACAGGTTATAAACTTCATGGCTGACCTAGCAGGCCAGGCAGGGACCAGGACATGGTCAGAAGAGAGGGATGGGCCAGGGAAGTCACTATTTATGGCATAATGGTGACGAGACCAGGCTCAGATCCACTCTAGCTGTGAGACTCTGACGGAGTTACTTTCTCTCTCTGAACCTCAGTTCCTTCACCAAATAAATGAAGATAATATCTACCCACAGGGGTGAGAGGATTAAAGGAGATAACACGCATAAGTAAATCATCTTTGATACCTCTGTGAGTTCCCTGAAGGCAGGGCTCACAAGGCCTAGCACATAGCCTGCACTCGGCAAGTGCAGGTCACCAACTTTTGGGATTTCTAACTGAGGAGAGGAGACCCTGATCTATCCACCCCTACCCTGCAGGAGACCCTAGCCCACCTTCAGATTCACACAGGGGACTGGTCCAACTATGGCCCTTGCTGGCAGAGGCCTTTGTCCCAGCAGCCTAGTGGCTCCAGAAAGCCCTTCTTCCTTCCAGCCATGGGAGGGTAGTTGGCCCTGTCTTCCTCCTTCGAAAGTCCTGGGTCGGCACCCTGGGCAGCTGCTCCATGATCCTGCTCCCCCATGTTTGTTTCTGCCTGTTGCTGCCATTGCTGCAGGGTTGGGGAGCCTTGGGGATGGGGAGGCAGGGGTGAGGGACAGGGGAAGGGGGTGGGCAGAGACAGGAAGCTGAGGTGCAGTGGGGGCTGACTCCCCGCCCTGACTCCCAGCCCAGAAAAGGTGGTGGAGATCTGGAATCCTATGCAAATTCCATGTAAATGAGCAGTTTCTGCTGAGCCAACCTGGCTTGTTGATGCAAAGTCCATACAAATTGGCACACACTGGGTCGGGGCCAGGCCAGGGTAAGGGAGGGAGCAGAGGGGAGCTCATGGACCCTTACTTTTCATTGGTTTGATGATCTGTAGCTTCTCCCGCTGGCCAGAGGGAGGCCCACATGGGAGCACTCACCTTTCTGGAGCATCTTCTGCCTCAGCTGCTACCTGCAATGGGTGTCCTGCCAGTTGGCCAGCTGCTGGAGGACATATATCATGTCAGGTGCGAGAGGCCCAAGCCGCGGGCCTCCAGGGCTGAGGCCACCACATTCCTCCGCGTTGCCTCATCCAGTTCTGCCTCCGCCTCCTCCCAGGCCTCAGCCTCCTCCAACGCCAGCTCCACCTCTTCCGTCTCCCCCTCCTCAGCTAGCACCACCTCTTCTGTGGACCCCAGCTCCTCCTCAGGCACTAACTCCTCCGCAGGCATGAAATCCTCGCTAGCATCGACTTCTCCTCAGCCTCGAACCCCTGCTCCTCCTCTGGCTCTTCACTATAGTGCAAGAGAGGCAGGGAAGTCTTTCCCTGACTCTGCAACCAGCCCCAGCCAGAGTCCCCAACCTCCCCACTCACCCGCCCCACCCCCACCCCCTCATCTCCAGCCCCGGGGGCTGAGGAGCAATCCTATCTTCTGCCCAGTCTACATACAGACACAGAACTACAACACAGTTCTGTCCCAGCCAATGGGAGTGGGGCAAGGTGGGCAGAGCTGGGTATCAGCCTCAAGGCTTCAAACACCTGGCTCATGCCTCTGGTAGGAAGAAGAATGGTCCCCAGCACTGCGTAGGCTCCGCCTTCCCCTAGCACCCCTCCTGCTACTCAGCATAGACCAAAAGGAATAATGTTGCCTCTGCCCGCTCCATTATTTAACCCTCCCAACCCAGCCCACAGCTGCTTGCCATAGAAACAAACCCATTTTAGTAAGGCTCAGACAGGTCAAATGACTTGCCCAAGAACGCATAGCCAATAAAGGGAGCAAGCTAGGACTCAGTCCCAGGTGTTCTCAGCTCTCAGGCCACTGCCCATTTGCCTCTCAGCTCCTGGTCAGGTGAAGGGAAGGCTCCAGTCTCCACTTTGGAGCTGCCTTAAATCAGATGGCCGCCTATCAGCAAGATTTGAAGGAAAAAGAGGCAGCTCCTTCCCATAACAACTTCTGCCCAACAGAGAGTGGGGCCTTCTCCACAGCTGTAGGGTCACAGAACCAGCTTCAGGTGGCTGCCTGGCTGCGGAAAGGTGCGGGAAGGTGATGGCCGGCTTACCTCAGGGTTGACGTCTCCTAATTTCATAATTCCTTCAACAGAGAGAAGGGCTATCACTATCCCAAGGCAATGGAAGCTGAAACTGCAAAGTCCCTGGGAACCCATCTTGCAAAAAAAATTCCAGGGAGAAATGAGGGACCCAGACCCAGGTGGATAGAGAAAAGGCCAGGTTTGAGATGAGAACAGCTGTTGCCTTCTTGAATCTGCATCTCACCAGCCAGACTTGAGTTCTTCAGGGACGAACACCGTCCCTCACTCATCTTCATAAATGTGCAGTACCAGGCAAAGCCACTGCCTAATGTGCAACTCTGAACTGCCCCAGCCTCAGTACCTTGGGGAGCCTAGTCTCCAGAAGCTTACAGCTCCCTCTCTTCCTCACTTTTAGGCTCCTCCCTCCCTTTGCCCCAAATAACAAAAGGAGACTGACTTAGAGGAAACCCACAGCCTCTGTATAGCTCTTTACAGTTTGTACAAGGCATTTCCTCAGCTGTAACCCCTGGAGAGGTCAGCAGGGCTGAGATTATTAATCCCCATTCTAAAGATGAAGGTTCAAAGAGGTCAAGGAACTTGTCTGAGCTCACACAGCTAGAGAGTACCAGAGCTGGGGCTTGAACTCAGACCTCCAAACTCAGTCCCGAGTTCTTTCTTCTGCTCCTTGGGACAGTCCCCCTACCCCAAGCTACAACTTCACGTACAATGAGCATCTGCTCCTCTTCCTCAAGTGCATCAAGGAGAGGGGCCTGGAGGAGGGTGAGAGGAAGGAGCATCAGCACCCACTGAGCGCAGGCCTCCCCTCCCCCATCCTCACCTCCTCTCTCAGCTGCTCCTTCTCTTCCTCCATCAGCCCCGGCTGCTCCTGCAGAGCTTCTAGCTGTGGGCAGTGGTGAAGCGGCTCCGACTCTGGTAGAGGGGTCCTAGGGAGGGAGTAGCGGCTCCGACTCTGGTAGAGGGGTCCTAGGGAGGAGTAATGGGAGTCAGTGTTGCGCAGGTGGGGGGTGGGCACCCAGCTCCCAGCCCACCCAGGTTGTGTGGTGGTCTCAATTAGCCCAGCAACCCTGCTGGCAGGTACACTACCCATCCCTCCATGCACCAGTTTGCAAACAAGGAAGCTGAGGCTCCGTGAAGAGGCTATCCAGGTACAAAGGCAGGACACTTACAGCTCGGGGGCTTCACAGGGATGATCACGATGCCGCTCCTCCTCTACTTCCTGTTCTTCTTCTTCCTCATATTCCTCCCCCTCCTCCTCCTCCTCCTCCTCAGAGTCTGAGTAGAGCTGAAGGAGGTCATCCTCCAAGCTCACCTGGTGTCTAAGGTGTAAAATCTGGCAGGGGGAGAGGAGCCCTGGGTCAGGGCAGGCGAGGGTCCTGGCACCAGGGGATGTAGGTGGCCTCAGATGGCACACCGCTTACCCCTCCTCCCTGCCCCGTTACCTCCTCCCTGGCTGAGCCCAGCACGGCCTTGCTGTTCTCCTCTATCAGAACATCGTTCTGTTTCACTAGGGACTAGCCAAGGGACCCCCGTCCATGGGAAATATATTCTTGGTTTTTGGGGACCTCCCAGACAGGTGGGAGAAGCTAGGGAGGACACGGATCAGAGAGAAGCTCCACCACTAGGGGAAACCCTCCCCATCCCCTAGTTCTCCAGTGAACTAGACAAGGGTCTGCCTGTTAGTAACTGGACTGCACAGCAGGAGGTGAGCAGCAGGTGAGCCAGTGAAGCTTCATCTGTATTTGCAGCCGCTCCCCAGCGCTAGCATCACCGCCTCAGCTTCACCTCAGATCATCAGGCATTAGATTCTCAAAGGAGCACCGGTCCCTGGTGCCAAAAAAATTGGGGACCACTGCCCTCCAGGACAGAATTAAAACAGGGGCCTGGCTAAGGCCCTGGCGGCTGCGGTAGAGAAGGCAGCACACCTCCTCTACCAAGTTTAACATCACTTTGACATTTTCTTGGGTGATCTTCTTGACTGACAGGGGTCACCCAGGACCCCTGCAAGAGAAAGTGGGTCAACCAGGTGGGAAAAAAGGGGGCATGTGCTACCTTGTTTCCTGCCCCATCCCCAGTTCTTCCTCAACAAGGGTCAGCAACAAAAGAGAAAAAGACTGAGCTCCCTTGCTGCCCGCAATATCCTTTTCATACCCCCCAGTACTCAGCACTCCCGTCCCCACTCCAAAGGCACACTGGACTCTTTTTTTCTTTTTCTTTCTTCTTTTTTTTTTTTTCATGGAGGGTCCTGAGTGAGGTAAGGAGATCGCAGTCCTCCAGGCTCAGGTGGAAATGGGCTCTCAGGACGCCTGGGTCCCTGGCACCTAGAATGGAAGCAAGCTAAAGGAAGTACAGTCGTAGACTGACTCCTCACCCCCTACCCGGGGGGGGGGAGCCTTGGCCGCTCATTAGAGCCTCATGGGTCATAAAAACAGACGCAGTCACACCCCGCGCCCCTACC